TTTTGTTTGGGGACCTGAGCCTGACCTCAGAACTGTCATTTGGACCAGTTAATTTGGAGGTCTGTCATTGAGACTTAACAATCAAAGAGGTCAGTGGTATTAGGGAGGGATTTTCTTGGATCTGAGAGATATAGCAGGAGATCAAATGCAAAGCCCGTCAGTTTGATTGTATGGTGGCCAAGTTGGATTCCCTTTATATACATAGCGTAATCTATATCTGATAAGTGGAGCTAGGGCTAAGTTGAAGCGAATAGGTTATAGTGGACAGAGTCCAAGCCATTAATGTTCATTTATTATATTGTTGGATATACAAGGCCTGGCTCTTTATCCGGTTTTAAGATTAAAATTGCTCTGATAGTGTGAGAGGTGCTACCATGGCTTTGTCTGGGTAAATAGTGATACAAAGGGATGTTACATTGCCAGTTATGTGCCTTTCAATATTTGTGAGGGCCTTGTGTGAACAGGGTGTCTGAGGTAGCAGGACATGGCAGTGCAGAAGAGACCTCATCCTGGACAGTCACTTTGTTTTCAAGAAAGACTTGGAGTATTTAGTATGGGAGTTGGCTTTGGTTTTCCACTGTTGGACACATTATGTCAAGGGGCCTTGAGAAAGGCATCACTTGTGCTGGAACATTGAGGGTCTTTGTGGCTTGTGTACTGCCCTGGTAGGCTATTTTTTTATTTTGTGCTTAACTTGATAGCTTATATTTAGAATTTTGCACATTTTTTGTTCATTGATTCTGTCTAATTGTTTTTGCCTGGTGTATGTATTACTTATTATATAAATAAATGCATCTTTGATTAGATGTGCATCTTGGTTTATAACAGACAATGAGATCACTCACATATTTAGTTTATGACAGATATGTAGGCAATCTACTTTCTATAGAGCAAAGTTCCCATGGGGACACAGGATGATGCACAAGTGATGCAGCATAAAGAATGTCTAGTATCCTTATCTATGTAATGCAATCACACTATCAATACAATTATACACTTGCAAAGTGCACTCTAAATACCATTATATTCAGTCAGTCCTATAGTAACAGGGCAAGCTCCCATCTACTCTGAAAAGGGCAGGTGAAACATTTGTTATTTATACATTGTTATATTTAAATTAGAGATAGCAGATGTATATAATCTTAAAAAACTAAGTTTAAATACTTAGATAGACAAATTAGCCTCATTTATAGCCTCAATTTGAGAAAAAAAAGTAATTGGTTATCACTAATAATAATTTTCATGTTTTTTAAAAAACCTGCATGTAAAAAAAAATATTTTTTTAAGTTTGACTTCAATTTAGTTCCATCCACCCTAAAACACATGTGGAACATGTAATATTTTATGAATAGAAAATATCATGTATTATTGTCATTTCCAATTAACTAGATGGCACAAATTAGTTAAAAAAGAGACAAGTTCAACTTTTAATATCAGGATGTTTTATTGAAAGTCAAAATGAGAAAAAAATAGTTCGGATAGAAACAATGTATATTTAATATATATCCTGAACTCTTCTGAAGGAACCAACCCTTGGAGTCATGGCACCCCACTCACTGAATCTCCTGTACTCTCCAGGTCTAAGATAATACTGCCTTCCTCTGTAATTTGGCAGCTCATAGAAGATCCAATGGCCTTCGAGTACATTGCATGAATGGATGTCATTATAATTAAATTCCTCCTGAACCTTTGGGCAATCCTCAGTAAACTCCAATGTATGACCTCTAAAATCTTCTTTCTCGTAAATTCTTATCCTAAAGGCCCCACGATACTGCAAAACAAATAATAAAAAACACATAAACATATATAGACACCTTGTTTTTAAAAAGTAACATTTCAGTGGTTTCTATTTTGACGTTAAAAAGATCTACAGTTTTAAAATATTAAATTAAAATAACTCATTCATATCAGTCAATTATACATATGAAGTGAGAAGATTTTTTTTCCAAAGTGCATATGACTACTGAAATCAGTGAAACTTAATTAAATGTATGCCAACAATTGTAACTGGAGAATTAACTGAGTTGGAGATTTTTGCCATTTTAGCCTAAAATGTCAATTCTCCACTTGAGAACTGGTTTTCTCAGCTGGCAGTCTATTTCAGTTTGAAACCATGATTTTCAAAGCTGTTAGTACACTACAAGCCTTAAGTATTCAAAGGACCATTGGCATTCAGAGTTTTAAAAAGCCAATGAATCTGGGATTTAAAGATCGAATATTTAGGCCTGTCTGAAAACAAAACATGGTGAGAGTAAAAATAAATTCTAATTTTTTTCAGAAAGATTTGATAGTTAGTGATGTCCCAAACTGTCCGCCGAACGGTTCGCAGCGGACTCATCATTGAGTAAACTTTGACCCTGTACCTCACAGTCAGCAAACACATTCCAGCCAATCAGCAGCAGACCCTCCCTCCCAGACCCTCCCACCTCCTGGACAGCTCACTAAGAATGCAGCTTCACAATGAAGCGGTCATAACGAGAAAATTTTTTGAAATGTAGCAATTAACAAATTTTATGCAGTTAGCAATATTTATGTTTGATGCATATTTTTTTCAGTTGTAACTTGATATTAGTCAGTACGCTCACATATATGTTATTCATTATTGTTACAAATAGAGTTTGAAGAAATGTCATTGTCGCTAAGAATTATTATTCACACCACTGATGACTACTTTTACATAGAGCTAAGGATCTCTACACACCTGTGGAATTATTCGGCAGGAATTGATGGAATCATTAAAGCCGTTCCAGTGTTGGAAGTCAGGATACTCTCCCCTCTTCAGGAAGTACTGGTGCCCCTGGTTGTTTGCACGCTCATATACAATCCAGTTTCCATTCTCCACCTTAATGGAATTGCAACGACTAAAATGTGAGTGCAAGTCTGAATTATCAGAGCTGCACTCAAAGGAACGGCCCTGGAAATTCTTGTCCTCGTAGAAGATGATCTGAAACCAAAAGTGAAAGGGGAAAAAAAACTGAATCAAAACAGTTCTGTCAAATTGTGGAAATAAATACAATAAAGTGTAAAAAGGAAAAACTGTATTTGCTCACACAACAAGTAAATTAACTAAAGATTCTCTGTAAGCTATATTATCCTCCTAACCATACTTTTCCAGAGAAGCACTGGATTAATTTCTTCTCCAAGCGAAGCATCAATTTGACAATTTGACAGCGTGGATATTGTCCTGTATACACTGTAGGTCCACAATCATTTTCTATGAGAAGCAATCGATTGATTCCGAGATTACTAATCCTCACAATGTCATTGCAAGAGGATTGGATATTGACAAAGGGTTAATATCCTAGGCAAGGACTGTACCACGCTTAAAGTAAATCCATGTAAAAAGGAACAGTTTACATTTTTGCATCTTTGATGGTAGAAAGCAGCCATTTAAGATTGTTAGTGCCAAAAGCTGGTAAATGTTGCAGATGAAAAGTTTCATCAGATTCTATGGTCCATTTGCGTTTTAACTTTCACTTTACCCATGTCCACCTCCACTGGTGATGAGCACTACTTGCTGTTGACAATTTTTCAAATCTGACATAATTCAAGTCCAGTTTATTACCGTAGCATCTAAACTAGTACATTACCATAGTATCTAAACCAGTACACTATAAAAAGGTTTACTTGTGCATGCACATGCCACCTGCAATCATCTGAGCAAACTGCCTTTAGTGTTTTCATATATTTGAGTTGACAAATTCGACAGGTATTTATTAAAAACTACATACACCATGCACATAGACAGAAATGGCAGCTACATTTGTGTAAAAAAAAAATGCATGGAGATAGTCCTAGTATTATATAACAGATAAGTTTAAAGTTTTTTTGGTTTTTTTTTTACTCTTTTTTATTGTAATGGGGGAGCTAAATCTATGTTAAAGAAGAAATACTCTAATAAATATTAAGAAAGTAATATTTTTTCCTATTTCCTTTCTAATGGAATTTCTAATTTACTAAAAAATACAGTTTACTTTTTTTGTGCATACTAAGCATTTTTGTAGACTTTTTTCTAGGTTTTTTTTAGAAAGAAATTTGATATCCTCCACACATCTACTTTTTTTTTTTACTCAAAAAAGTGCCTTCTTTAACAAGAGTATTGAATAATAACTATGTAATTAAACAAATAATTTTACCTCTTCATACACAAGAGAAAAAAAATTATATAATAATACATTAATACTTTGTTTATGTACTTAGAATTTCCATTCTTAGATTACCTTTCCCATTTTGGCTCTAATGTAGATCCTGGACTTTAGTGCATGAGTGTTGCACAAACTCTGGTTTATATATGTTGCCCAGAGCTTGTTCTGCAATTGTTTAACAAAAGAGATGCAAGCTTTAGGTTTAAAAGGGTTTGCCTGCCTCTTTCTATTCTATATAGTGTTGGAGAATGTTCATTGATTCTGAATTATAGACTTTTCAACTTACAACTGTTACAGCCTGCATGCAGTATTTTCTGAGTGCCTAGGCAGTATTTATTTAAATTAATTTACTGAATTTTATTTTACATTAACTACATTCATCTTTATATTTTCTTTTTTCTTATTCACATGGTGGGTCAGCTAGCAATGAATATTCGCTGTATGCATAATGGTCAACTAACAGTATTTTTATTGTACTTATTTTGCATTAGTTAATTAAATGCATGACTATTGGCTTAATTACATAAGTTTTAGTGAAGCAGAGATCTTCTCTTTGGAGAAAGGCTCACACTTTTCTGGTAGGACAAAAAATAATAAAAAAATGCATCATTTCGGGGGGCGTGGCTCGGAGCTCGATGGGACCGGCCGCATCTATGTGAAGCTCCCGCAGCCCAAGTCTTTAGGGGCACAAATAATTGGCACTACAAGCCACCCAACGGCAGCAAGCAGTATACTTACCCCCACCATGGCACATAGAAGCAAGGGGAAAACCCCCAGCACATAGAAAGCCTCCTTCTTCCTCGCACAAGCTCCGGCGGGAAAAAATAGAGAAGCCTAGGCCCAAGATGGCAGCGACCAGCGCTCAGGCGAGGTTTAACCCTCCCCCCACCCTCTCTGAGCTCAGCCTTAAAGGAAGGCCCCCTCACAGTTGGAGGGATGAGAACCCTGATGGCAGAGCTCTCTGACAAACTGCAGGCAAGCATTAAAGTGCAGATTCATGAGCTTACCACAGATCTCAGAAAGGAGCTGTTAGAGATTGGGAGCAGGACAGCCCATGTAGAGAAATCACTGGATGCCTTTGAGCGTCTCGGCTGGGTCTTTCTGAAATAGGTTTTGGAGAAATTTGGATTCCCCCCAAAAATAATCCGACAAATCTTTGCACTCTATTCCTCGCCCTCAGCACAGGTAAACTAAGCAGGGTTCCTGTCCCCCACCTTTCCGATTACCAACAGAACAAGACAGGGGTGCCCCTTATCACCGCTTTTATACGTCCTCGCACTAGAACCCCTCTTGCACCGTATACGCTCAAATGAGAAGATACAGGGAATACATCTAGGGGGCAAGCAGATTAAGATTAGCGCATTTGCGGACGATTTACTACTGTACGTAACAAACCCACAAGACTCCCTACCTACACTAATGCAGATAATACACACCTATGGACAGTTCTCATACTATTTAGTTAATGCGGCCAAGACACAGGCCCTGTCTCTTGGCATCCCTGCCCCGGTATTACGCACCCTCACACACACATATGACTTTGACTGGAGAACTGAATCCATATGCTACCTACACCTGACAATCACTAAAAATCCTGCAAACCTTATGTCAGCAAACTATGTTGCAGTTTGGAACAAGTGCAGTCAACTACTGAAACAATCTTCTCTGATGTACCTGTCCTGGACAGACCGCATCGTGACACTCAAAATGTCAATACTACCGAGGCTGCTGTAACTCTTTCGCACCATTCCCCTCTGCCTTCCTCCCACCTACTTTAAGACCATTCAGGCTGATATGGGGAAGTTTGTATGGGCAGGAGGCAAAGCCAGAGTAGCTGTGAATATCTTACAGGCCCCCAACAAACTGGGTGGTTTAGCACTACCCAATGTCTAGGGCTACTATGACGCAGCAGTACTAGCCGCAGCTATCCCCCACATAATCTCTGAACCCAAACCACAATGGGTCTCCCTAGAGCGAGATTAATTAGATAACCATGAAATCCTGCACCTGCTTTGGACACCGTAGCATCTCAGGCCCGACTTGCCGACACTTCCCCCACAGATACTGCTGTTGTTTCAAATCTGGGATAAGTACAGACCTAGGTTAGGCAGCACACCTAGCCTCTCCCTTGCAACCCCCTAAGGGCCATACCCTACATCATCCCCACATTTAATGCCCTACCGTGGCACCGAAGAGGCGCAACTCACCTTTACAACCTATTTGATGCCCATAAACTACTAGACTACACAAGCCTAGCTGACAAATACGCATTCCCACAGTCCTCGCAGTACTCATACCTCCAGCTACACTCATATATCTCTAAAGAAGCAAAACATTTCTTAGACACCTCTAGAGATGCTAATAGGTTAACTGCATGGGAACAAATGTGTATAACTGCAAGATTACTACCTCAATGTAAACCGATCTCCATGTGTCTCAGCTCCATAGCAAAACACAACCACTTCACCACAAAATATGCCCAACAATTGGAAAGCGATCTAGGCTGTGCAGTGCCTCCCACATCCTGGGACACTATCCTGTCCGACCTCAAGCTACTTAAATCCACCTCTCACCTTGAACAACACCGCAAAATTTTATACCATTGGTACTTAGTGCCAACCAGACTGCACAGGATCTTTCCCTCCACCTCACCAGTTTGCTGGAGATGCCACGCAGCAGAGGGCTCAATGCACCATATATGGTGAAACTGCCCACAGCCACATCATTATTGCACTAAAGTCCATGCACTGATCCGAGATGCCACACAAAGCTCTCCCCCATTCACCCCACTGGTGTGCCTACTGCTGGAACTCCCTAGAGAAATGCCCCAACACGCTAGAAAGTTGACCTTAAACATAGCCTTGACGGCGCAGCAATTGATAGCAAGGAGATGCAAGTCCATGATCCTTCCCAAGAAGGAAAACCTCTTAGAGGAATTTCATAAGCAGTGGATTTACGAAACCTCCTACACGTCCCTCTTCCCCCCCATCTACACTCTATAGGAAAACTTGGGGGCTTTGGCAAACATGGAGATCTGGTAATGTACCTGGTAAAGCACCAGGGGCTGTACCTCGCAAATAAGCTGCAATGTCCTTAACACACCCAAGTTGCAAATGCTTATCCACACCCCCACAGCCACCCGTGGGATGCTGATGCTGATACTTTGCTATGTGTTGTGTGACATGGTATTGTGGGGACATATTGCCGCTCTGAACTGGAAATAATGTTGATCTAATGTTACTAAAAATGCTTGTCTGTATCAGCCTGTGATGCACCTCTCTGCCCCCTTCTTCCTCTGTTATGTACCCTCCCCCTGTATAATGAGCGACTGTACAAATCTAATCTCATTAACTACAATCCCATTCTTTTCTGTACCCTGAATACATTGCTTACTGATAAAATAAATAAAAATTGTCAAATTTAAAAAAAAAAAAATGCATTTCATATCAAAAGATGTCCCCTTTTGCTCATAGCTAGACTGCATCTCCAGATAATACTTAGCTCTGTATGATGTTGGTTCATTGTTAGCGTCGCAACAGGTTTGTGACCCATTCTTCCTCTTTTTGCTTCTTGTTTACTGTGTTAATTACACCTAATTAATTTATGCTTATTTTGTTATTGTTTAATGTGCATGTGCTACACGCACTTTTTCATATGCTTTCAATTCTGTACTAATTTAAAAAAAAAATAAAAAAAAATTAAGGTAATGGCTTAACCATTTTAAGCATGCTTATCAAACTTTAGGAGCAAATATACAAATATGGACCTCAGAATGGTAGAAACAGGAACCATCAGCAACAAATTCAAACAACTTATTCAATATGATAAAAGTAAGAAAATACTTTTGTTTAGTTATAAAGACAATATAGGAGACTGCCTACCTTTTCTGCTGTCAGTTACTCTATTTCTTTGATGAACTTCTGACTGGTCTGCTCTTCTGCCTCAAGTGGCGTTTTGAGTAACTGTGCCAACACAAAGCTCAGGCTTGAGCTTTGCTTGCAAACAGAGAGAGGGATAAAAAATTGTGTTGCTTCATATGTAATTTGGGCTGTAACAATTTATATGAGATGATGATTTGTGCAGTGGAAGTTAAATTTCAGATGTTTCTCATGATGCTCATCCAAACAAAGCTTAGTTATGACTGGGCTGCATAAATATAACAAATGGGTAGTAGGACTAAGTATCATTATATTCAACATGTTCATTTCATGTATTTGAGCAAAAACTAAATGGCACATTAATGATAGATCTACCTCAGATCATGTAGTTCTCAATACTACTACTGTAAATCCAACCAGGGAATAGAGCATGGTCACACATATGCCCACTTGTGTTGAGGTCTTTAATAACACTAACTGAGTACAAGCTCTCAGAACAGTAGGTAGCAGAGACACAAAAGGTGAAAATGAATGAAAGAATGAATGTACCAGGGCTGTATTTATGAAAATGGAATGATGTGTGCTAGTAAGTTACATTTTAACCTCAAACATTTATTGAATTGCTAATTATCTGTGATTACTATCCTTTTTTCTATTTACCAAATCAATACCATAACTTATAGACTGCATTATCGAGATATTCAAAGATGGCTACAGATAATTATTGTAAACCACGACTAGATCCAAAATGGCAAATTCTGTAATATTTCAAAACTCTAGAACAAGATCAAAAATGGCATTTGAAAATTAAATGTGTGCAGTAACTTGCATTTTCACAGTGAGCATTTATTGAATTGCTAATAATCTGCAATTGTATCCTTTTTCATATATCAACTCAATGCCCTAACTTGTAGTCTGCATTACAGGGATATTTATTAAGTTTGTGAATAACACAAGTGCTTTATATGGTTTAGGTGATACCACCCTCCTTTTTATAAAACACAAAAGTGTACAGTGCAGCGCTAACACAAATACTTTTTCCATGCAAACAGATCACAGCTCACCAATAAGGTTACACAGCATGAGTGGTTTCATATAAATGAAAAAAATAAAAAAATAAAAAGAAATGTACAATAGTGAAATATTGTTTAAATGAATGGGAAACAAATGAAAATAAGAAATGCTCACAATTGTAGAGCCTTTTAAACATTTTGGCTTCATGTGCTTTCCTGGTGGCAACAGCATCCTTCTCCTGTGTGTCTCCTTAAGATCTCCAATGGAATATTCACGAGAAAGAAGACAGAAGGTGCAGATAACCCAAATATCAAATATGTAAATTATGC